AAATTATTCTTCGTGGACCCAATGTATATCATATTAGTGCTAGGGCTCTCTGTGGATGAAATAGTACATTGGTATACCACAGAATTAATACAACATTTCGCTTGAAGATGGAACGGAGCCCATTTTACTTTCAACTCAATTTAATTTAAAGGATTATATTGAAGTTTTCGGCTCTAGTTTTGAAACATGAGACCTCTTATGTAGCGATTTGGAATCATATTTTTAAATAAATAATTATATATATATATATACAAGTATAGGATTGATGTATACGGAATAAATTCCAATGATCAACAAATACTATTCTTAAAAGAGTGCTCAATACAGAACAGAAGAAATATAATTATTTATTCTCAAATTATAACATAAACATGTTCTACATTCAACACCATCACTTGATAAGACACCAGAAGTGTTGAAACAAAATGGCTATTTTTATAGTGATTTTATAACATAATTTTCGAATAAATGATTATATATATATATATATATACATATATTATGAAATGGACAAAGTGCGACTATTATTTAAAGACATTTTTTTATGTTTAACATTCTTTTTATAGATACAAATATTTAAGTAAATGCTCTGTTTTATAATAAACAGTATTAAACAACATTTACCGGCCTGAATGCCCGAGAAATTTACATAAAAATTTTGTCCTCCGACAGGGATCGAACCAGTATCCTATACGGAACCGTATATCAATCTAACATGTTTCACTTTTATTAAAACTTCGTCAGAGATTGAGGGAAAACAGACAAAAAGACAAAAACACTGGTATTTTCAATTTTGTTTGGGTCAGTTCTCATTGGTCAATCGCGTGCCACGTGCATTGAAGCCATAGATAGTTCTATATGTATGTAAGTTTGTTTAAGCGGGCATCGGATGATAATGTGTCGTCGTAATTGTGTATGTATGTCAGTTTGTAAAAATTCATGCGTCTCGTGAATCATCAGTTGGCAATTTGTATTCGTGATTGTGTATGTGTGTGCGTTTCTCTCTAGTGGGAGTTCTAATATCTTCACCTTTGTGTGGTCATCCAGCGTAGTGGGGTGGCACTTCATTCTAATCTATGGTGGATTTCTTTAAGCGTGTCTTCTCTGTATTAGATAGATATAAGTTAATTTTTTTTTAAATGAATCCAAAGATGGTGATGTAATGCTTTAGGCTTGTTATTATAGTTGGTAATAATATTATTGTTACGCTTTCAATGTACTTGCTCCTTAAAGAAATATTTTTTTTTTAGTGTGGCATTAGTTAAATCAAAGTTATGTCCAGCATCCTTTCGATGAAAAACGTGAGAGTTAGATCAATTGTCTAAACGCAAGTCTCTCTTGTGTTCATAGATTGTGTTTTAGATTACGTGATGTCTTCCCCCACATAAACATTTTTGCATTGAAAAACAATTTATTTGACATATTCCGGCATCTGAACTGGTGTTGGCTTTATTTTCCTTCCTAAATATATTTTCGAGCGTCTTGGAGGTTTGGTAACGATCCTAGTATTAGGGATGACTAATTTGTTTGCGAGATAATAGATCGGTATTCGGATAAGAGATCGGTATTCGGATAAAAGATCGGTAATCTGAATCTTATCCGCAACATCTCCAAATTCAAACATTCAGTCATTGAAACAGGAGTGGGGATCGAAAGGAGAGATCTGGAAAATATCACGGTTGTCATACCTGGGGAATGTTGTGCTTCGCTAAAAGCTGCTGCACAAGCTGCGTTGAATGTAGAGGTGCATTGTCATGGTGAAGTTATCACTCATCTGAAGCGTGTAATTCTGTCCTTTTCCGATGAACAGTATCCCACAAACATTGCAACACATCACGGTCGTACGCCTTGTGTAGTGTCTGACCAGATAGAGCTTACTTAAGTTGAAAAATAACCTTGTATCTTGTAGTCGAAGAAAACTGTCAACTTTACTTTACTTCGACTCATTCGTTCTTTCTTAGGAGAGGTTGGGTTCCTCCATTGCGCCTTGGTTTCGGGGCCATAGTCATAGGCCCACAGTGCGTCACTTTTTAAAAACGTATTCTATAGTGCGTTGAGACAACACTCTACACACTATCCTTCCAAAAATTGCTATAAACGGAAGCAAGGGAGAACGTTATAACTTTGTGTGCATGAGTTCAATATCAATCTGTGATAAGCAGCTGCACTCTGCATACTTCAGTTTGGTTATCATAGCAACAATCCTGATACTTTTATCTTCCATCGCTTATTAATAATATTGGACACGTGTAGTATAAAAACTATTTACTGTAAATCCCAACAAAACACACTTGGGGCTCGTATAAGAAACGCCACATAGTAGGAACGGATATTAAACTACAAATAACGAAAGGTTCTATCCATAAAGTAACTCCAACCCCTGACCGCTTCCCCCGGGATAAGATACCTTACGCCCCCAACCAGTCACTAACACAAACACATTCTCATTAACAAGGCGTCTTCCAGAGGAGGACTGACATTGAAAATAAATCTAAAACAATGCTCCAAGACAGACACTTAGGGGCTGAAAATAGCCGTGTACAGAACGGCTTGAAATAGACTATCCCATGTTGAGGTAATGTTTGGTTTTTGCTGAAAAATACATATGCTCTGTTATAATAAATACATTGAGCTCTCTGTTGATCAGTTTTAATAATTAATATTACTAGGATTCACCCGGATAATATACCAACGGATCGATTACCTGTACTATATATATATATATATATATATATATATATATATATATATTATATAAATTATATAAATTATAAAACCCAGGTTGTGTATGTGTGTGTGTGTGTGTGTGTTTATATATTGGATCGGATTTCCTACATTTTTCAACTGATTTCAACAAAACTTCACAGGACTACGTTAAATTGCCTTGTGGTGGTTCTGACAGCGCCCAAAATTGGAAAAACACAATTGTTTTTGCATTAAATCAGTTTGAAAACATGATTAAGAGGCATCGCGAAAATGAAAGTATATCGAGTTATACTTATTATAAAACCCAGGTTGTTTGTGTGTGTGTGTGTGTGTGTGTGTGTGTGTGTGTTCGTTTATATATGGGATCGGATTTCCTACATTTTTCAACCGATTTCAGCAAAACTTCACTATTTTTTTGACAGGTAGTGTTTCTTATTTTCTTGCACACTTTTTTCTTTATTTTTACATTCAGAATGCTTTAAAAATTCCATCTACAAGACAATTGTTTATAATAAAATTCTATTCAATCGGTAGACTCATAACGATTGAAAACAATGTTTTTGTTTGAGTTTGGGTTTGACCAATTCGTAAAAAAAAAAAAAAAAATAATAATAATTAAGACATATGTGTCCGTCAACCTTAAACAATAATGATGGTCGATACTTGATCTATCTCGATACTTGATCTATCTCTTACTGTTACATCCCCGGGTAACGCCGGGCTCTACTGCTAGTATATATATATATATATATATATATATATATATATATTTATTTAAAAATAAGATTCCAAAATAAGATTCCATTTTAAATAAATCCATATTTTTAAATAAATAAATAATTCCATCCATAGTTCTTTCTTATTTTCTATATATTTTCACACACACACACACACACACACACACACATATATATATATATATATATATATATATATATATATATATATATATATATATATTACAATGAATCATTCATACAAAAAGTAGATTAGTAAAGTTAATGATATAAAATGGCAAAACTCTTCAGAAACAAAATTTTAAAGTTACATTAACCTACGAATCACTCGATGAATGTTATGATCTTTGTTTTTAGTAACTGCAAGATGTATAAGGTCTTTTTTTAATCTACTAGCACTTTCAACTGTACATACAGTCATCCTCAGGCATGGAAATTATTTTGTTTTTAGTAAATCCAGGTAACATTGGAGACGAAAGATTAAATGCGAATTGAAATATGTTTTTTTAGAAATGTGTTATTGTTAACGGATAAAAACTTTTTTTCATTTTAAAAATTTTTGTATGAATGATTCATTGTAATATAAATTGAACTGCACCACATATTTGATTTAAAAGAACTGATCCGACGTGCAAATTTTCGGGATAACAGCTGAGACATTACTCTATTGAACAATTTAGTTAATGCCACATTGACTGATAAACTCCTACAACAAAAAAAATTCTCAAATTACTATATTAGTAAAAATCGCACTCTCTTAAATTTTCAAAAAAAAACATTCAACCTTAGCGTTGCGACAGCACGCTCCAAAAGTTTTTATCCGTTAACAATAGAACAGAAAAAAATTCTTCTTACAATCGAAAATGTTTCATATTATAATCAACAAGAGCCAGATCACGTGAAAGACGGAGTACTGCTGTCATATTTAAACAGGAGCTGCCCAGTGCTCACTCTCTAGTCTCGATAGAGTCCAAAAGGGTCTCCGCGTCCTTGTGGGTGACAAATTATTTTTCACCCTACAACCCCTCCCTCACATGTGGTTGATGTGGCAAGCCTCTCACTGCTCTATCGCTACTACCATGGAAAGTTCTCAGACGAACTACATTCCTTGGTTCCGCCAGTTCCCGCCATGCCACTTACATTGTAGCAACCCCCAACCCCGTATTTCATTGGTGCGAAGTAAGTTCCACTCGAACAATTTCTTCCCGCAAAATATTCTCTCCCAAGAGGATATTTCCCCGATCACAACACTTTTTTTTTAGTCTTCTTTAACCTCGGGTTAAAAACTGTTCTTCCTCAACTATCCGCATAAACTGCCTCTTATTGTGTAACTCACTACCTTGAGTGACCCCCGGGCCTTGTAAACCTCACTGTAAAAAAAATGCTAAACACCACGCCTCACTGTCAAACGACCTATTGCAGAAAGTGGAAGTCAGCTTCGTGTGATCTTTTCGCCCTTTTATATTCGGCTAAGGTTCCTGTAGGATTTTGGTCATAAATTTAATTCTCTTCCTTCCGAATTGAAGAGTTTCAATAACAACACGTGTTTTGGAAAAGATGCGATTTAAGAAAAGGTTTGTTCAAGTTTTTCTCAATTTATTTACATAGCAATGTTATTGATTTTCACAAAATGGTATTTCTAAATTTTTGCCTGATATTTTTAATTTAATTAATTAACCTTTTGTAGTTATCAAATCCAAGCATAAACAAATCGTTTTATTTTTTTTTTAGTTTCATCATCAGGAAAAAAAACTGATTTTTATTTTTTTTCTATTTATTTGCCATCTTCTCTATATAATCAAGCCGTTTTTATATAATTTTAAATTATCTTCATTTACTTTTAAAAAATATTTAAATAAATTTTTCTCTTAATGCAGAATAAAAATTCCCAAATTGACTTTTGAAATAATTTTAACATAAAAACGTCAATTTATTGTTTATCTTTTTAGTGATTAAGGGTGAAATATCCGTCGTCCATTCGCTATTATTATTCAATTCATTGAGCTTTTTTTAATTTTTCTTTTTTTGCGAATTAACTTTGAGCTTAAAGAAAGTTTTAGGCTCTCATCTTTCAAATAGAAGCAAAATTTATCTTCAAAGAAGACATTTGAAATACATTTTTAAAAAGAAGTCCGTGGTGGTATCATCAATAATTCATTTTAATTCATTCATTAAAGTGCTGAAAAATCTGGTTCAATTATTTTAAAATCAAATGATTCACTGATTGTTGGTAAATATTTAAAAATAAAAACTGGGTATTTTTTTTCGGTCCCACCTGTAATAAACACATTCAATTTTTGTTGGTACCTTGTTTCAAAAGAAAGATTTTAAAAATTTCAAATATTGAAATTTATAAAATGGCTGAATATAAACGATTTCTGAATGCGAGCAAAAAGTTCAGATTCCAATCAATATCATTTCTATTTGAAATATACCAGAGTATTTTGCGTACTGGAAATAATAAATTTACTCATTTAGCTTTCAATTAAAGTTAAAAAGAAAGCTTCAAGAATGCTTTTTCATTTTTAAAAATTCATTTTAAAACCTTGGGTATCGAAAATCTTAACGAAAAAGTGGAGGTACCTCTCTAACTTATGTAAATAAATTTGTTGACATTCTTAAAAAAAACATGAGTTCGCACGGTCGCTCATCGAGCCTACATTACAAATGAAAATTTAAAACGATAAATTTGAAATCTTCTTTCAAAGTAAATTAAAAACCATTAAGAATTAGTCAGGTGGATTTTGTAAAAAAAAAAAATATAAAAAATAATGCATACTTTCTGCTTAAAACATTGTTTATTTCCGCACGGATAGCAAGTGTCACCAAGAAAAGAACATAGGTCAGCAACAGGAGTTTTCTACTGTCACACCCCAAAGTGTGTTTAAAAAACAACTTAGAGTCAAAAGTACTAAAATGTAGAAATTGGTATTAATTGTTTATGTTTAAATAAATGACCATTAGTCATACATAACCAGTAGTTTAAGAATATATATTTTTTATTCTATCCACTTGTATGAAACTAGTAATTAATTAATTTTTTTTATTCTACATTAGATTTAGAAGTATGAAAAAAGGAATTAAAAACGAGTTAATTTAATGGTTTTATTGTTTTTTTGTTTTTTTTTTTTTTCTTACCTGATGTTAAACTGTTTAATTTCACTCAATTATCTTGAGTTTTAAAAATTTATTAAAATAAATGAAGTGCTGCAAAAAAAAAATGGGGTGGGGAACTGATAAAGACATATTGATATTGTTAATTAATTGCAGTCACAGATTTTTTTTCCTTTTTTTGTTGTAATGTATGGCAAGAGTGTGTTGAACTTGGGGGGGAAACACCTAAGGAAAATAATACAGCCTTGGAAACCACAGCAACTTTAGGAACAAAATGCCCACAGGACAAACTTCAAAAAACACCATATCTTGACAACTGCTCATTTTCCCCTTGGTTTTATTGGCACGTGACATCTTACAAATACCCAGATCTTGTCCATCTTGGGTACGCAGATAAACTTCATCCGCGCCCTGGGTAAGATGATAAACTACATCCAACAGCAAGACCTCTGATCAGGAGGTTTTGTGGAGAATGGAACCACCTCTTAATTGCTGGTGTTCTCAGGTCCACCCTGACCTGGGGTGGTAGCACCTGTTAGGATCCCAAATATGGGCAAATAGTGAACTTCCAAACTGGAGTCAAAACACTATGAAAGTGTAAAAGTAGGTTTTAATAACAGCAATACATTGGAGGGGGGGATATATTAGCAGCAATACATTTTTGAAAAAATAATACTACCAGCAATAAAAATCTTGTCGGCATTAAATAACCCATTGAGGTTAATATGCTATGAAGCAAACCAAACCAGATCTTGACCAGTTACAAAGAGGCCTGTATCTAGACATACCAAGCCATCCTGCTGTTATCAGGGAAAACCTGATGTAACTGGTGTTGCCAAACATGTCCAAACACAATGTGAAGCCTCTTTTGCAACTGTACCAATGTTTATTAGCCACATTTTTGAACTTCTATACAAAAAAATGATCTAACACTAACGATTTTAAAAATGAAAAAAAAAAATCTTTTAAAAATGATTCACACTCAAAAATGGCATCAAACTTTAGATTGTTTAATTCTTTAAACATTTCTTAATTTAATAATAAAAAATATTCTTCTTACAAATTGTAACTCCTCTTTGTTGCAATATTCACAATGTTTCCTCAAGGACACTTGGCCCAGTCGATAAAAGCATTGGTTGTATCCAGTGACTTAACCCAAAGAGTTGTGAATTCAATACCTGACTACAGCTGAAATGAACAAAACCTTAGAATTGAGTTAAAGGGAGATAACTGATACTGAGACATCTGGAAGAGGCATGCCATGTGGAACTAGAACAATCTACCTCATTGAACAAAATTCAGTTCGGTTCGAAATTCCAATCACCTGAAGAAAAGCCAGAGCATATAATCGCTGAAATGTCATGAATATGGCAACAAAGATGAGGACGCCAGTCTGAACAATGTAAATAGTTACAATACCACATCTCAGAAATATAGACAGATCCTGAAGAAGGCTGTAGCATGCAATGATTGAAACGGTGTGAATATAGCAACATGATAGAGCATTATATGATGTGTTCAGCAAAGGAGGAGCATCTTCAACATTTGATAATTTTGCGGCAATATGCACTTAAGGGTTTTAGTCAGTTTTGATCAACATTTCTTTTCATGATTAGCCATAAGGAATTGTAAATCTACAACTACCTTACAGTAAAAAGTAAAATAATAATAATAATATTTAATATCAAGTTTTATGTAAATATTGTTGACAATTATGTATTTAGTTACATAACAAATAAAAAAATAAATTTTGACACTAGATTCTATTTGTTGTTAGGTATTTTTCATTTTCTCTTTTGTTATTGGCAGCATTTTAGAATACTTTGGCTGAAATGCTAAGTTTCCTAAGTTGAACAAACAGGAGCTATTTTGTTTACACTTTGTTACCTCTCTTTTCCAATGTTGTTTTTAGATCGCTTTCTTCGAGTCATTTTCATGGGCAATAGCGAAATTCTAAAATTTAGAATGAGCTTATTCTATTTAAAAAATAAAGCCTGTAAAAAGGAATATTTTAAATTAATATACAACCAAAAATAAAATGCTTTTGATAAAAACCTTAATGATTTCACTATAATTATCAAACAATAATGTAATGATATTCTGCAGACAAATCTACGGTTAATGTTACTTTATCTCATTGCATGGTTACAAACTACAAACTTAAATTGAGGTTGAAATATTGTGTAATCAACACTAATTTTTTATAAAATATTTGGATATGATATAATGAATAATTTGCAGTGAAAAATGCCATTTTCATGTTTTTTTTGTTTTTTTTTAATATGCTCCTTCTCTGTCGGACGTATCATATACTCTTCATTATTTCCAAGCTGTACCATTTGATTGCTGCTGTAGACTTATGGTCTGAATAATTGCAATAAAAAGCAACTAATACAAAGGAAATTACCAGTTAAATTATTTACTATCTATGTTTTTTTCTCAATAGGAGTAGATAGGTTTGCCTATCATCCAGTTCACACTCCTGACCAGTCTTTTGAACAGGAGTAGAGGTTTATCCCTTGTTTCCTGTTTAGAATTGGGTTTCCACTTTCTCCTAAAGTCTACTTCAATTCTCTACTTCTAACATCTCCACCTAAACTCTGAAATTTAATTTACAATTTTAGATATTATAGGAAAAGAATGAGAATAGTTCAAACAACATTTATTGTAATAGGTACACTATGGAAGAAAGGTTTATTGCCCCATTTGTGTTTCCCCCATTATGGGCATTTATCCATGATATGATAACACCTTCATGGATGAGCTGAAAGGAAAAAAGAAAGATAAACATCCTTTGTTCTCAGAAAGAATTTTATACTACTAAGTCATACACAAAATTGTATATGCATATTTATAAGTGTCTCATGCAGAGAAACTATAACATATATACAACAACAAAAAGAGTGAAAGGAGTACAAAAAGATAGGATGCTACATACAATATGGAAATTCTTCTGTTTCTGGAGAAGTCATATTTAGGATTCCAAATTTGAGTTGAGCGGATATATGTCCTTAGTAAAGGCATACAAACAAGGAAACTGCAAATATTGGGCTCTTTTTCAAACTGAGGACTACAAGCCGAAGATAGTTTCTTTCTATACCTAGGGAAGATAGATTCCCAAATGTGAAACATTGCTATAGGCTTGTAAGTTGTAATATGTGCTGCTGGCTAAGGGAGCATAATCAGCTTTTTTTTTATCCCTACAATTGTATTAAAGAAACAATACCAACATATAAAGCTTTTACCTTTTTGTGAATGTGTTCTTAACTTTTACCATGCTGCAGGTGAAAATTGTCGCCATAGAATTATCTCCCTTTGCTGCTCTAGGTGCATTCTGTCACCTTAAAATGGTTGCTATAAATAAACACTTGTCAACTGTTATATCTGGTATTTTAAGCTGGAAATCTACTGCTGCTTTGGAACAAGGTTAAACTTCAGTTTTCCAATGCCATTTTGAATTCTTCTAAAATCTACATGAGGCTTAACACCAATTAAACGCACATTATTTTTTCGCCATTTTTTTGTAAACAAAAATGGTCACATCAATATCCAAGAAAGCCTTTATTCGGAAGTTTTTCTTTGATTAGGACTCCAATGGTGATTTTTAAGGCTTTACTCTAGTGGATATTGACAGTGAAATGGTTGAAGTTGATAACCATGCTAGTGATGTGGAGGAAAGCGATGACGACCACTAGCAGCTACTATCATCCATGCCTGACTAATTTTATGGCAGCTATTGATGTACCTGTTATCCTTTATAAATAGACAAAATAATAACTTTATTCATTAACAAGACATGAATATGAGCCAGGTGAAAGAAAGAGCAAATAAATGCTAGTGTTGTCTTGTATGTAAACACATCACTTTTTTGACAAAATGAAAGCCGTCTTAGCGATTCTGCTTCTTATTACACTCCCTGAACTCCACAAGGAGTAATAAAAGTTAAAGTGCATTGAATTATGTATTTTTTAATGTATTTGTTTTTTTTTTTTTTCAAGTTTCAATTTTGATTGTTTTCAATGTCCAAATATACATGAAAAATGTAATGCATTACATCAAAATATTACTCATTTGTTCTTTTATTAAGGTAAAAAAATTAAAATTTTTATACACAATACAAAGAAAGTTTTAACAATATTAAAACAGTAGGTGTTCATATTTTTGCACCCTCAAAAAAAAATGCAGTGGGAGGGGGAATAATTCTAGAAAGAAATTAGTGTAATAACGGTTAAGTATAGAACAATGAAAGTTCTGCTTTCATCAGTTCAGCATGTGGTATCAAGAGAGGAAGAGATGAGTGCATGTTGTACGTTCACTTGTTAATGGCAAAAAGAGGTCAAGATCTCTGCATCTGCCACTGAGCCAGTAGAGAGACAGGCCACAATTGGACAGTCCTGCAACCAATCCAAAACTTCCACATATATAAGGTTTGGCAGAACCCTAATCCTACTGATATGTCTATGTTCTGGTCAGTGTGTGTGTGCGTGTGTTTAAATTCACTAAAGGTCTGACCATTTCTCAGCTGTAATTCCAATGCAACTTATGTCTTATTTCAGAACTTCTGTTTTCACTATTGTATTTGTATCCATTACACATACATGCATTAATTTTTATATAGTTAATATTCTTCTAGAATGCATAGGCTAGACCAGGATTTCCCAACCTGGGCAATATCGCCCTCCAGTGAACATTTTCAACTGTTGGGTGGGCAATGAGCAATGGAACAGAAAATGGTGGACAATTGGAAATTTTGGTGGGCAACATAGGATTTTAAGTATAAAAAATGTATTTCAACATATGCTACCTGAAAAAAAATATTTGAAAGGAGATAAAAAAAAAAAAAAAAAGGAGGCTGGTTAGGAAGAATTTTTTTTTTTTATAGATGGAGATGAAGATTGGCACCTAGATGCTTTTTGACCTCTGAGGTCAATAGGCATTTATTAATCATTCTTCTCATAAATATATATAATTTGAAATCATACTCAGTACTTGAAAGCATAGCTGAAATCTTATTCTTCTATGTGCTGTGTCCCTTCAGGATGTTGATGATCATGGCTCTCCACACTTTTTTGTACCCCTTAATAAATTTAATCATTTTAGGTTGTTAGAATGAATGGAGTTACTCCCCCTGATATGAAGATGCTATAAATGAGATTACCACGAGGGAATGAGAGAAAACATTATTAAGTTGGAAACACAGATGGAGAGAGAAAGACTAGTTAGCAATGGATAGCAGAGCAAAGTTGGTCTAAACCAGGCTTTCCCAACTTGGCCAATTTCAACTGGTGGACAGAAAATGGTGAGCAACTGGAAATTTTGGTGGGTGATATTGAATTTTGAGTATAAAATAATGTTCAAAGGACATACACAACAAACCAGGAATAGAAAAAAATTAAAGACAAAAAGAAACAGGAGGCTAAATGATAATAACCGTTCCACCTTCCTAAGATATAAATTTCTTTGCAAACAATGTATATTTTGGTATTTTTTGTAGTTTTGAGAAGGATCATTAACATTCAAATAGTTCCTCAGACAAAAATAACATTTTTCAGATATAAATCACATCACATAAGAACAGCAAAAAGAAATATTCACTGAATTTTTATTGGTTACAAGTAGTGTATATTCTTTTTAAATTTGTAATTGTGAACAAAAATTATTTTTCTTTTTTGTCAAAACTTGCAATTCTAGCTCTAACCATAAAATTAAATTATATACATAGTATTCAATGCTCAAGTTTGCTTTTTAATAATGTATTAATCAGCGTTATTTATTACCCCCTGTAGTGTTTTTTACTTCTTCATAAAGTCAGTTTACGAACCAGTAACAAACTTTTACCTAACAATTTTGGTCCACTTTTGAATAGTTACTATACAGGTGGACAGTAGAAAATTTTTTGATGTGACAGTGAGTGATGACACCAAAAATGTTGGGAATCCCTGGGCTAGACAAAATAATGCAAATGTTGCCATACTGGTCAGAACTTTGATGATCCAAACCGTGGGCAGGGAGGGGGTGATCTCTGTGAGCAGGGAAACCTGCTAATGATGATCTCTTTTATACTATTAATTCACCAAGAACAGGGTCCATGGGCCACTCAAGGTTGAAGTTTATTGAGATTGTAATAAAGTGGGGAGGGGGAGTTAGAAATGCACATTATGAGGATATGTAGGATAGATATTGGTGAACCCTGGACTTGAAGAGACAAAGACTGGAGTTGTCAGGGAAGCATCCTTTCAGGAGTTTGTTTCACAAAGTAACTATTCTGGGGAAGAATCTGTCTGAGTGGAACTTCCTCCTAACCAATGGAATATGAAGGGAATGCAAATGGTTTGCCACTGTAAACATGGCATGGTGAGTCCTAGCTGTGAAGGTCTGAACTGGTGGAACTAAGGAATGTTAATCGTCCTGACATCTGCCACAATGTTTATTAGTGTTTAAGTTTTCATATAAAACCAAAACAACATGCAAAAATTAGCAATATGGTTGCAGCAGCTGAGAAGTCAAGAGCACTGATGCCGACCTCTCCCAGATTGTTTGCTGTAATTTCAGAAAGTGATGCATCACTGCAGGAAGAGGACAAGTAGCCGGCCAACGTGTTAACATGCATTCTCTCTATCTCACCCTATCTCTTGCTTCCTCTCAAGAAATGATGACTATTCTTCCCATCACTGAAATAAAGCAAGTAAAATGAAGCCTGAAATTATCTAGTATGGATTGAGTCTTTTCATGCAGCATTGGGGTCCCTACTGAGGAATTACCAAGAGACAGCTAGAATCTAGAAACAACAAAAACAATATATGTAATTTTTGGTTCTTTACTTCCATTCCTTAGATACCTGTTATATGAGCTGATCCCAGGACATCACCACTTTGAGTACAATCAAATCCGTTCGGCTGTTACCAATGCCATACAAGAAGCCCATGGAGACTACGGAACTGCCGTTCTATGTCACACGCTGCGTGGTAAGTAGTTTTAGAACAGGATCTTCAAAGCAACTTTGAAGAAGCTACTTGAGGAATACTATTTACATTATTCGGACTATTGTCCTCATCTTTGTCGCCATATTTATTACAATGTTTCAGCCGTTGTACACTCCGGCCTTCTTCAGGTGGTCAAGGATACATGGCACAGTGGATAAAGGCATTGGTTAGATCTGGTGACATGACCCAAAGAGTGTGAGTTCAATACCCAGTTAAGGCAGTGGAGAACTTTCAGAGGGAAATTAACAGGAGATAACTGATAACTGACATCCATTAAACATGGCACGTGGAACTAGAACGGTCTACCCCAGGGAGCGAAATAAAGGGTTCAGTTTGACATTCCAACCACCTAAAAAAGGCCGGAGCGTACAACAGCCGAAATGTTGTAATAAATATGGTGACAAAGATGAGGACAATAGTCCGAATAATGTAAATAGTGTACATGATACCTCATCTCAGAAATATAGACAGATAATGAAAGGCAGAAACATTGTAATAAATATGGCAACAAAGATGAGGGCAATAGTTCGAGAAATGTAAATAGTGTACATAATACCTCATCTTAGAAATATAGACAGATACTTGAGGAATATTTAATTCCAAAATAGAACTGATTTGTTTTGGGGTTTTTTTTTTTTGTTGTTGTTGTTTGTTTGTTTTGGTTTTTTTACAGCTTATCAACCTTTTTCAGGTTATTTAAAGCCAGAAAATATTTTTAGATTACAGAATTTTTTTGATGATAATAATGATTTTACTGATACAAGTCCTACTAACTGATCCATGACTAGGGAGAGAAAAGGTGTATTCGTACGTTTCCCAAGGATATATATAACAAACCCAACTGGAATCGGAACTCGACTCTCCAATTTCAAGTCATCATTTCTTACACCACCAGCACATCCAAACTTATATAATTTGATATTCTCAAGCAGTCACTCATCTAGATACTGACCAGGCTCAACATTGCTTACCTTCGGCGATTGTATTAGAACTAGTGTTTCAGTGTGATATGACCTACATTACATAGATTGAGAAAAGCTCGTCTCTATGATCGAAGCAATTTTGCTCAGGAATATCAGGTTTTGGATGTTTCTATGTCATCTGGATGCCAAAAAATGGCTAAAGAAAAGCAAAATATATTGTAAATCTAACCAGAATGTGCACTTGATCGATTGCCAGTCAGAATCTGAATCCTCCTCATCAGCACAAAACACATCTCGACTTCATCTGCCTCCAATTCATCTTTACAGTCAGTGGCCTGCAGAGTCTCTGCCTATCTCCTGAAAGATGAAGAGACTTAAAGCAACAGAAATATTTTTCTACAGAAGGAGACTGTTTTAGAGAAAATGGAAACAAACCTAAGGGAAAGACAGTTGAAATTTCTATGACAAATAATGAGGAAAGAGGGCTTGGAAAATCTGATACTCACAGGACAGATTGACAGCAAGAAGGACAGAGGAAGACAACGCATAACATGCTTAGTGAGCTTGAGTAAATGGATGGTGGAACCAGGTTTAGGAAAAATAACAAAAAACAGCATTTATTAAGCGCTACAAAGGAGAGGAAATTGTGGAGAGCCATGATTGCCGACATTGTTAACGGATATAGCATATAAAGAAGATTGATGAAAAATCACAAAATACCGTATATACTCAGATATCGTGCGACCTAATTTTAAGGGGGTCGCATCATACACAAGATATAAAATTAGCGTATTTACTGCTGACCCTGTCTATGCCATTGAACAAACTATATATCCATTTACTCTAGTCTGATTATCTTCAAAATTAGGTCTTCAAAGACCACATGATACACGTGTATATATGGTACTTAAATTTGCCATTCCATGGAAATGGCCATTTCCCACAGGTAGATTCAATAGCACATACTCCTCTACAACCAGTTGGTATTACAAGCCGATGCTAGAAATTTCTTGGTCAATTTAATAAGGGATTTTTAAAAAACTCTACTGATGGTTTAAATTTTTAGTCAGATTTTGGAAAATAGGACAGTCTGAAAAATATTCCGTACTCTTTCATATTAGATTGGGTTGTTTACACGTGTGTGTTTCATTATTGAGATCCAATTAATAAAACAAATCAGTTTATTGTGTTAAATTCTGTTCATTCATTTTTGGTTGTACAACCACTTTTCCTGATCAACAATTAAAAATGGCTTCAGTGAAATGAAGCAAGGTAAGATTTTAGCCAATGTGTAAATACTATAATCACCAAGAAAGAACCATACTGAATAACAGAAACCACATCACTTGAGGACTGTCAACCAATAAATGGTATAGCACATATAAGTCAAAGAGAAAATAATGACATCATTAAAATGTTGACATTTTTGTCTGAATTTCTGGAGTTATCTTTATTTATAAACAGACTAATATCCTCATCTTTGTTGTTATTATCACCTGATCACCTTTTGCCTGGATTTCTGGGATGAGGTGTTATCATTATTTACATTCAGACTAATATCTTCATCTTTGTTTTTTATTATCCCCTGATTGCCTTTTATATGAATTTCTGGGATGAGGAGTTAAGTGGGGTAACCTCCAATTGCTGGAATTTTCGGCCTTGGATTTCTATTGATTGGCTTGGTTTGTTTTATAGCGTATCAGCACCTCAATGGGTTATTTAATGCCAACAAGATTTTTATTGCTGGTAATATTTTTTTTCAAATGTATTGTTGGTATTTTTTTTTCCTTCAAAAACCTATTTCTGGTAATAATTTTTCTTCAAAAATGTATCGCTAGTAAGTTTGTTTTTTTTTTTTTTTTTTTTTTTTAAAACTTATTGCTGGTAATAACTTTTTTTTTTTTTTTTTTTTTCAAAGTATTTCTTGTATTAAAACCTATTTTTACACTTTCATAGTGTTTTGACCCCAGTTTTGGGGTTAACTATTTGCCCATAGCTGGGACCCTAACAGGTGCTACCACCCCAGGTCGGGTGAACCTGGGAACACCAGGAATTAAGAGGTGGTTCTACGCTCCTTAAGACCTTCTGTTCAGAGGCCTTGCTGTTAGACGTAATTTATCATCTTATCCAGGACGGGATTTCTATTGATTAGGCATCTTCAAAACTAGATTGTAAATATAAAAAAAAAAAAATGGAAATGGCTCTTTCAGGAAATTATGTACATTTTCTTATTTTATATCTCAGTAATGAGATATAAAATAAGAAAATGTACATAATTTCCTGAAAAATCATGTTTATTTAAATTCTCTTGCTCTATACTTTGTAGATATCTATTTATAAAAATGGCAAAGAATAAATATTGTATTATACTTGGCTCACATATCTTCATAACATTGCTGGGGGAGTCATTATAGTATACAGTAATAGCAGAGTCAACAGAAAAAAAAACGCCGCTATTTTTTTGTGGGTATGAAAGTTAGTTTGCACCCTGTATTACATCAACCAGGGTAGATTATTTTCATTCCATTGTCCATGTCCAGGGATATCTTGCTTGTACATATTGCTCACTCAATCTCCAATTTATGAACCAGCACTTTAATCCCCTAAGCTGTTGTCCTGTGGAACGCTTCTGAGTAAAGAGCTTGGGGCCTTAAACCTAACCTGCTTGCTGATGAGTGCTGCTGTAAATGTCACACTTGACTGCACTCTTAACTTTTTACTGCAAATGTTTCTGAAGCTTTACTGCCACTTCTCTCTATCACCTGATGAAGGCTAGAAGACACAACATCCAAAACATTGTGATAACAACAGCAAAGCTCTGGACAATAGTCCATGTGTAAATAACATGTCAACTTTTCACATTATTTCAAACAAAAGATTGCTGGATTCTCTCAATAGTGAAAAGACCAATAACAGTGGACTTGAGAAAGCTATTTCCCTGAAAAATTGTTTTAATAGGAAAATTCAATTTTTCAAATTCAAATTTTAACAAAAAGTAGCATTAGCTGCTTGGTAAATGAATGTTGAATCTTTTCTTATTGGGGAAACAGCTAATATTACCATTACCATCAGAGATGAGGAGTACAGATATTACACTTTGATCACAGCCTGATGATGGTCAGAGAGTAAAGAAAATCACAACTTGAGAAGTACTGACTGTTTGGTTAATGAATACCAAATGTTTCCTTATAAGGAAACAGCTAATATTAACATTATGATCTGTACATGAAATAAATGCTGTATTTTGTTTTCATTCTAGTCCAAGTGTACAATCAGGAAACGGCCATTATCATGATCCGAGCCCGTTTTGGTCAGCACCATCTTGTACAAAGTGCCGTGTGTTTCATCAAACAAATTGCTTCAAAAAATGTTTGCTTCAGAGCTTTACACATTGGAGGTGAGTTGATTTTTCATTTTTTTCTTCCGTAATTAATTTTTTGTCTTGTATTCTAAGTGCTTTGGAATTGTGAAAATTGCCTTACAAAAGTTTAGTAAATTATTAATAAACAGGGAAATTTTGTTAAAAAAAAAGGACTAAACTGCTGTATAATATCAGTCCTGCTATATGGCAGTAAATGCTGGACAATCTTCTCACAAATGAAAAAGACACTTGAGGTAACAGAAATATGGTTCTACAGAAGGATGCTGAGAATACAATGGACTGAATATGTAACAAGAAAGTTTTAAGTAAAATGGAAACTAAAAGGATAGTTAGAATCAGAAAGAGACAATTGAAATTTCTAGGGCACACAATAAGGAAAGAAGGCTTGGAAAATTTGACACTCACAGGACAGACTGAAGGCAAGAGAGATGGACAGAAATAACCTACCTAATGAGCTTGTGTAAATGGCAGTACAGAGATTAGGAGAGATAGCAAAAGGACAAGACAAACCTTACTAAGAGCTACAAAGGACAGGAAGTTGTGAAGAGCCATGATCACGAACCTCCTGAAGATGTAAGGCACATAGAATATTCTTATGACACAATGAAACTCAGCAAATTTCTTAGAATTTGGGCTGGCTTTAAATAACCTTCAAAAGGTTGATAAGCCATAAAAAAAAACTCAATCAGTAAGATCTATTATTTGCTAGCTGCTACTTGCTATAGATACATGCTCATAGGCTTTTCCTAGAAATGTAAACTACTTCAGTATATGTTCAAAATTGTTACATGAATTTGTTCTCATATTAGCGTCACCTTTTAACATTTGTTTTTCTTATTCCAGGAACCATAAAGTCTACAGAGAGATTCCTTATAAAGCATCACAGACAATCATTAGCACCATTATTGGCACATTGTAAAACAAAAGGTATGTTTTCATACTGACCAATTATAATACATTTGCCATGTTGAACCAAATAACGTCCAAGATAGATATGACCAGATGAACATTGGTAGTAGATACAGTGGCAAGAGGAGATGAGTCTGTTCACGCACCCCACAAGAAAAATTACTGTGTTTAATTTCTACTGATAAGTTTTAAATATTCTAAAATATTTCTTTGTGTCAACAAGCTTGATCATTTTCAAACTTCCCCAAATGGAATCTTCACCCCAAACAATCTACCAAACTGTTTGATACTTCTCTAATCCAGGGGTGTCCAAATTTTTTTCCCAAGATGGCCAGATTTTATGAGGTGAACCTGCATGTGGGCCAACCATTCTGCCTGGCATTCTTTGAACCATTAAAATTAAATGCAAATGGCATATTTTCATTTCTTCACATGGATGATAAAAAATTTTAAACAGTCTTACCAAAAATCCCTCAGCCTGTCATAACTGAAGCCCATATAAGATGAAGTAAAATATATCTGAGAAAAAAAAAAACTTCCAGGAAGCTATAATTTATATCAGGTTAATCTTAAACATTACATATTATCGGTAATTAATGTTGTCTGACAACTTTTAAGTTAAAAACATGAATGGTATTTACTTGTTAAAATATGACACAAGGTCGATTAACGTGGGAGACCCGAGTGTTTCCAATCATAGGCCACTGAATAGGAACGTCCACCGAAGCCAGTCCAAGTTAGTCAAAGCAACAATTCATTCAAGAAACGATCCATTAATTAAAACCCCCAGAACGCCACACCAACATTCATCTTAAACAAAAGTGACACAAGTTCAAGTGTCCAAATAGATTTATAACTGATTTTGACCAACACAAAACAAATTCACTAAGATTTTAGAATTTATTCATCTCAGATGACCAAAAAAATCACTTGCCTGCATTAATGTGAAGAGTTAGACTGAGATCTGAACTGCAGTATGGAGGCCAAGTTGGGTTCAAAGGCAAATGATTTTAGAAATTGGCTGGAAAAGGCCAACATCAAAGTTACACCATCAGACGGCTGCCACACAGTACTGCTGCTATCTTTTGGTAAAGCATAAAATTGCTTTCTAAGATTTCTCTGATCGACAATACTTGGCAGGCTGTAAGTGATACATTCTATAACAGAGGATGGTGGGGTCACATGAAATTTGACCACGGACCATAATTGGCCCCCAGAACAGAATTTGGACATGCCTGCTCTAATCCATATAGCCACTTGCAACTTAGTGAGACCATCACGGCAGAGTCATATTGTTGGGATTTCAAACTGATGCCTTAAAAGTTAGTAAGATTTTGGCCTACAGTGGTGAGAAAAAAAAAAACAAACCAATCTCCTCGTCCAAGATCTTGTCTTTCTCAAACTGCCTGGTGGGGGTGAACCCTGGTTATTTATCAAATCCGATGATCCCAATTCGGATGGAATAATTGCACCATTGGCAGAGCATCATGTTGACTCAAATGGTGTTTACTTTGAGTAATAAAGTTGTGTTGCAGCAAAGTTATGATGTTTCTGCTTCAAGATGGTCATTTGTTTGGTTCCAACCTTTGTGCACCTAAAATATATCAAGATTGCCCCCCCCCACACACACACACACACTGTGTTGAGCTGAAGAAAGGGGGCCATCTCAAAAAAAAAAAAAAATTTTTTTAATTTTTACTGAAAAGTTTTAAATATTTGCCAATAGACATTCAGGGCTATTGCCTGTGGTCATTCTTTTTAATTTTTCTTTTTCATTTTTTTTTTTTTTTTTTTTTAATGCAGAAGAAAGACAAAAAATCCAAAGTGCAATCCGAGATAGCTGTTCACATGAAAAGAAATACATCCCAAGCCAAAAACGAGGCTCCTTCATTGCTGACGAAATTGATGAAGATGATAGTGATCTGTAAAAACTAACAATGTTCTTCTTTCGGTCTCTTTCCTGGCTGTGTGGCCTACAACCACAAATTACGGGTTGGGGGGGGTATCTAAATAAGGCACTGTAAAAGTTTTGGTTCAAAATTCTGTAATTTAATTGTAAATAAAGACTTTGTTTTTGCTCTTTTTTTTTCTTTTTTTTTTTTTTTTTTTTCCTTTACCCTACCCACTACTTTCTGAAAAGATTTGTCGTCTTGGACTGATTTTTTTTTATTGACTTTTTTTCTTTTCTTTTTTTTCTGGGTTTTTGTAAATTTGAATTAAACCTTTTAATTGCTTATTGATTCTACCCCTAGACTTGGTTGAAACAAACAGCCTTTATATTGAACAATAGTAATGCACTTGTTGAACCAGCTACGACTTAATTGACAACTGATATATATATATATATATATATATATATATATATATATACAGTTCAAAAGTTTGAAGCCACCCACAGAATGAGAATTGGGTTAACTTGACAGAAAAGTAAAAAAAAAAAAAATATGTAAAAGTGTTCTTTGTTATTGGAAAAAGAATGGAATCAATTACACTTTGAGAAACTTTTGCAATGAATGCCAAAAATTTGTGCTGCAGTAATCAAGACTGATGGAGGATATTTTGACAAGAGCAAAATTTAATCATAAAATGCTATTTTTCTTACTGTCATAATAAAATATCTAATAAAAAAAATATCATATCTTACTTTTCTTTTTTTTGTTTTTTTTTTTTGTTTTTTAACCATGTATAATAATTTCCTCTTATTCAAAGTACAAAACAACTACTCTTTGGGCCAATTTAAAAAATTACCAGCAGGTGACCTCAAACTTTTGAACTGTTGTGTGTGTGTGTGTGTGTGTGTGTGTGTGTAACAAATAATAAATATATATATATGTGTGTGTGTGTGTATATATATATATATAAATAAATAATGTGTGTGCATGTATAAAAAAGGAAAAGCTTAATGCATGTCAATTCCTGATTTATTTTAACAAGTCTCATCAAACTGAAAATATAAATGGTTTAAGTTTATAGAGACAATATTAAAAAAAAATAGTAATAACAGGAAGTCAAGGCGTTTGGCCTAGAAAATCTCTTTTCAGCATATTGGAAGTCGTCAGCCAATGCTTATATATACTGGAGGGAGAATACTAGAAGATCTAGAAAATATAACATAAAGAAAGACATAATATATATATATATATATATATATATATATAGTGTTTGTGTGTATGTAACAAATGCACGACCGCAATTTTCAACGGATTTGCACCAAAATTTACATGCTCCAAGTTAGTGGGAGGGCCAAGACCGACTTCGCATTTCCCAACTCCCATCGATAGTGGAAATAATCGATTTTTTTCATGCTTCTAAGGCAGTTTTCATGTAGTTTGCGGCCATTTTCTACTGGCCAGAGTGAGAGCCAATAGCTGGCTGCCACAAATAGGCAGGAAGATTCTATTGGCCAGCGTGAGAGCCAACAGCTGACTGACACAAATGTTAACTAGCATGCAAAAAAATCGATAGCTGCATTCGTCACAAGTGGGAAAAATTTAAATCTGCATGGCACTTTACTCCAATTGGCTCATTAAACATTAAACTCAACGTTGATTCTGATTCCGCAGAACTGGGTTGGGTGTAAAAAAGTATTTGTTGTTAACATTCTTTTTTCATTCAGTTTTCCAGTTACGAGTCCGTTTTTAAAGCTGATTTTTTTGTGTTCATTTTATTTAGTTCTTTTTTTGTAACAGATTTAATGTTTAGTATAGAGCTTAGAAAAAATTTGCAGTGTGAGATAGGCAAGAAGTAAGACATGTAGCAACATCAACACAGCAAAGGGCACTCCTTTAAAGGCAAGGAAGGGCAAGAATATTTTAAGTCAAGTGATAGTAATTACTGTATGAGTCGTACGATTTTTGAATCAAGCACGGGCAACACCGGGCCATGCTGCTAGTATGCATATGAAAAGGAAAAATATATAGGTCTAAATTAAAGCAGGAAGTCAAAAGGCCTACTAGTATATAATAAATATCAAACTTAGTCATTTTATTCCTCAAATTTCTTTAAAAGACCTATTAAATCTACATTTAGGCACATGTGGACCATATCTTATTTTAATTTTATATATATATCGTCATCTACAGATAGACACAGTTCATCAGTGTGGCTAGATGTCCAATTGCCTCAATCCGGGATCGAAACCCAGCTGATTTGGCATCAGTCATAGATTTTACCCCTGAGCTATCAGCACCCAGTAGAGATTTTTACGTACTTATTCTTCAAATAAACAAGCCAATGACCGAGAGTATTTTGATGTTTATGAGTAGCAATCTAATGTTACTATGATCTTTATGATGTTTATTATTATGTTGTCTGATGGCACTCTGATTCAATAGGTGACAGGTGAATCTACATGAGAGTGTGGTTGTGGCATATCCTATGTAAAATGTTTTTTATTTACAGAGAAATATTCTCTAAGTGGGCAAGTGTATTCATACACAACATTGCTCTTATATAGGGGGTTGGAAGTTTGAGATTTATTATCTTACTTATAAAAACGCAGATTGTGTGTGTGTGTCTGTACGTTTATATATTGGATTGGATCTCCTACATTTTTCAACCGATTTCAACAAAACTTCACAGGACTGCGTAAAATTACCCTGCGGTGGTTCTGACAGCACCAAAAATTGGAAAAACAGAATTATTTTTGTATGAAATCAATTTGAAAACACGATAAAACACAATTCTGTTGCCAGAATAAAAGGCAGACAATTCATATCAAGTTATACTTGATGTAAAACCCAGGTTGTTTGTGTGTGTTCATTTATATATGGGATCGGATTATTTTTTTCTATATTTTTCAACCAATTTCAACAAAACTTCACTTTTTTTGGCAGGTAGTGTTTCTTATTGTCTTGCACTTTTTTCTTTATTTTTACATTCAGAATGCTTTAAAAATTCCATTTACAAGACAATTGTTTATAATAAAATTCTATTCAATCAATAGACTCATAACGATTGAAAACAATGTTTTTGTTTGACCAATTCGCAAAAAAAAAACTAATTAAGATGTGTGTCCGTCAACCTTAAACAATAATCTTTGTCAATTTTATTTTTCAGTCTTTATGATGGTTGATACTTGATTTATCTCTTACTGTTACATTTGTAATGAGAAATGGGTCTTGTGCTAGATTTATTTCTCGTTTTACAGGTGAAATTTACTTTATGTTTTATATTGTGATTTTATTTTTTTTTCTTTGTCAATCAAAAAAAGGCATATTTTATTGTATCGGCAAAGTTTGTCAGGCTACGTCACAGGTGAGCAATATTTAACAAAGCAATCACACCATGAATACTGTAGCAAGATTACTCCTTACGAAGTAATGGTACAATTAGTTGTGACGATACAGGAAACATTCAGCATTCATTGACCAAATAGGAGTAAACAGGTTTCCTCCTTGGTCTTTTAAACAGGAGTAGAGGTTTATCCCTGTGTCCTGTTTAGGATTGGATTTCCAATTCCTTTTAAAATTTATTTTAACTCTATACTTCTAACATCTCTGCCTAAAACTCTGAAATTTTATTTACTAATTATTTATTTTTAATTTTCTCCCCGATAGGAATGGATAGGTTTGTCTATGATCCAGTTCACACTACTGACCTGTCTTTTGAACAGGAGTAGAGGTTTATCCATTGTTTCCTGTTTAGGATTGGATTTCCAATTCCTCCTAGAGTCTACTTTAACTCTATACTTCTAACATCTCCACCTAAACTCTGAAATTTTATTTACATCTTTTTTTCCTCAATAGGAGTAGATAGGTTTGTCTCTCATCTGGTTTGCATGACTCCTTGGTTTTTGAGTAGGCATATATGTTTAACTTTGTTTCCTGTTTAGCATTGGGCTTCTTCTAAAGTCTTTTCATTCTCTTTCACTTCCGGTAACTCCTTGTGACATTATTGCCTTGCTTGGAGTAAATTAAAAAAAAACATTGGGTGAGATTTATAAATTCTTTTTCTTAAAATAGAAATTATTCAAAAATTAAACTTCTCAAATCCAATAAATTTTATAGCTCTTTCTAATATTAATTCCTATAGTAAAATCATTTACAATTAATTCTCTTATGGAAACTGATGAAATTAACTGTTTTCATACAGGAAACATTTGGTATTCATTGACTAAACATTTAGCCTTACAGGGTGCGATGGATAAATTGTCTGAATGACACAAATTAAAATAGCACTGATATCTCATTTTAACAGATATATTTACCAAAATTATGCAAAAATATCTTGAAATACTAAAGAGCAAATTTATTTAATAGAATCACCATTGACTTCAACCACTGCCTCCAGAAGACTTCGAAATTTCCTGCAAATCTCCTGGACGCGCTCCTTGTTTAAGTTGATGAATGCTGCCATAATCCTTGCCTTTAGTTCATCTTTGGTATTACAAGGAGATTTTTGATCTCTCGCTCAACTGAACCTCACACATAATAGTCAAGGTGCTTGCAGTCTGGAGAGTTAGGTGGTCAGGTGTAAGGGATGATGTGGTCGCAGAAATTGTCTGACAGCCATGACTTGGTTCTCCTGCTTGTGTGGCATGGTGCAGAGTCCTGTTGCCAGACATAGGATCTTCCAGCAGCCACCATTTTGACCCAGACCAGCACTACCTCTTCAAGGCAATCAATGTAGGCCTCTGTGTTGAGTCTGAGGCTCCCACGAACAAATTTGGGAGTTCTTTTCTTATCAGAATGATCAGGGTGCATTTTCCGAGTTGCCGTACCATAATAATCATCCAACTCTTTCCAAATCCTCTGCACTGTCCTCATATTGACAGCCAATCACTCTGGAATGTTCCTATTGGAGCTTCTGGTATGAATGCCAAGCAGTACAGCATGCCATTTTGAAATTTCTGGCTGAGTTAATTGCATCATGGTGCTCTTTTTCTCACAGCTGGTGCCCAACTGACCCTGTTATACTGTGCAGTAGA